TTCCCCCTCCCCTATCTAGTATGGAAAGATATAAGAGTACCACCCCCAGTGGATGATGGCGTACCATCTGACGAGAGTGATATCATATTATCTGTAGGGGTCACCCGTGGCTAAGTAATATCGTGACTATAAATGCCACTATCCCTAGTGCGGCCGTGGACATAGATCGTATCATGGTTTGGCCAGCCAAAAATGGGTATGAGCAAATTATCGTATTTGTATCTGATCTGTTCATTTCACTTGGGTAGTTGGAAATCTGTATCTGCCATTAGAGATGGAAGTTGTAACGATTTCGCGAAACATGAAACGAAAATCTGAGCATTTCATAATTTATTTGATTTTCTTTATTATCTGACATGATATTTATTTGGTTGTATGTATCAACGTACCGCTTTCCTAAAAAATAAATGGTTCTTCATAATGTGAGATAGGTAAACGAGAAGGTTAAATGATAAGTTCTTAAGTCAAAATAATTAACTTTTGAAATCTTACGATATTAGTTTAATACTGTTTTCCTTACTGAACATATGAAACTCATTCTTTCTATACCCCCCCAAATGAGGAAAAAGTGAGGAACCGCAGGCTGACCTACTCTTGAAAGTCTATGAGGATCACGTGGATCTACAAGTCTGAGTGCATGATTGTTCAGGCACTCTAGTGGATCCACAAGTCTGAGTGCATAACTGCAGTCTGTCTTAAGTCAAGAATCTTCCTCAGTTCCTGAAAATACTAGTGAATTACCTTTACTTTATGATCTATCTGATAATATAGATAAACTCATTACTCTTAAAAAAGAAATTAGGTCTTACACTAAGAATTCTATATCTAAATTTGTTTTTTGCGACTACCTATCTCTCTCCTATAGAGTATTTGTTTTATCTGTTTATTGTATATCTATTTCACAGGATTTAAGGAAGTTATACAGGATCTCAAATAAAAAGAAAAATGATTGAAGAAATGAAACATTTGGCAAAGAATGAAACTTGGGAGTTTGTTCCACCTCCACTGCAAAAAAAAAATGATTGGTTGTAAATGAGTGTTTACTGTGAAACACAAACTAGACGAATCGATTGAAATGTACAAAACTAAATTGGTAGCTAAAGAGTTTACTCAAATCTATAGAGTAGACTATTAGAAAATATTTGCACTTGATTCAAAGATGAACATAATCAAAATATTGTTATCTTGTGCAGCCAACTTCGATTTGGATTTACAGTAGTTTGATTTGAAAAATGCTTTCCTCAATAGAAACTTAAAGAAAGAGATATACATAGAAATTTTTCCTGAATTTGAATATGAAAGAACACAAGAGAAGATTTACAAATTAAAAAAGGCCTTGTATGGATTGATTTGGACTTATAGTAATTTGATTTAAAAAATCCTTCTCTCCCTAGAAACTTAAAGAAAGAGATGTACATGGAGATTTTCCCTAAATTTGAATATGAAAGAACACAATAGAAGATTTACAAATTAAAAAACGCTTTGCATGGATTGAGGCAGTCTCCAAGTGCATGTTTTGAAAAATTTAAAAGAGTTATGATCTCTTTTGAATATCAATAGAGCAATGTTGAACATACTCTGTTTATCAAATATTATGAGTGTAATGTCACTCTCCTCATTATTTACGTAGACAATATTGTTATAACTGAAGATGATACAATGGAAATGACTCGATTGGAGGAAGGTCTTACTCAAGAATTTAAAATAAAGAATTTAGAAACCTGTAATACTTCTTGGGAATTGAAGTTATTAGACTTAATAAAAGAATTTTTATTTCTAAAAAAAAAATATATCATAAACTTAATAGAAGAGACTGGTATGATGAGCTGTAAGCCGACAGAGTCTTCTATTAAAAGCAATCAAAAACTACAAACGCGAATTGGTACGTCAGTAAATTTGGAAAGATATCAAAGATTAGTTGGAAAACTCATTTATCTCTCATATACCAAACCTAATATAACATATACAGTTAGTTTAGTGAGGCATTACATACATGATCCTTGCGAACCTCATTTATATGTCATTTTTTGCATATTGCGATATTTCAAATCTGCACTAGAAAAAAGTTTACTCTTCTCCAAAAGTAACCACTATAAAATAGAAATATTTACATATGATGATTGAGTTGGATCACTAGATGATAGGTGATCAACTACTAATTATTACATGCTCGTACAAGGCAACCTAATTACTTGGAAAAGCAAGAAGCAGAATGCGGTTGCTCGTCCTAGTGCTAAAACAGAATATAGAGTAATGACCCACGGAGTTTGTGAATTATTACGGTTGCCAAAGTTAATGAAAGAATTAAAACTATTTAAAGAAGAGAGTTCATCCTTATTTTGTGAAAATAAAACTATCATTAACATTGCTTATGATTCAGTTCAACATGATCGAACAAAACACATAAACATTGATCAACACTTTATAAAAGAAAAAGTGGTTTGCGACTCTTCATACTTATATCATGTGTCTTCTAGTGAACAGGTGACAGATGTCTTCACTAAAAGTTTTTACAACAAATCTTTCCATAACTTGATCTGTAAGTTGAGTATGTGTGATATCTTTGCATCAACTTGATGGAGAGTATTGATTAAAATAGTTCATTGCCACATTCGTATTTATGAACAAATTGGTAGCAATTCAAATCCTATGCTAACAACAACCAAAATGGAACATACAAAACATATATCCTCATGAAATAAATTTCAAAAAGAAGAGTTCCTTCATTGTTGCCTTCTTCAATTCATATGACACGACCAAGGACAAATGAATAAAGAGAGGGAAATTTTTTGTTAGCGGTAGTTATCAATGCAAAGGGAATCTCAGATCTCCTAGCCACCTCCTTGGAAAGGGAGCTAACATCCATAGCCACCCCCCAATATTATGCCTAGGGAGGAACTCTTGAAAAGATGGCCCCATCTTTTATTGAAATTTCTTGGATGAAACCTGGGTCCATTAAGGAGATTAAGCATGGGAGGAAATCTGGACATCTAGAAAAGGAAACCTGGGTCCAATGTTAGCATTTGAAAGAGTAGCTGTTCTATTGCTTCAACAAAAGATTTTTTAAGCTTGAGTTTATGGTTTAAAATCAATTTTTTAGTAAAATAGAGAAAAAGTTTATGACCTAATTTTTTTTTGTAAATAGAACTCTTTTGTACATGGGCGGGATCCTCTGGTCTCATCCAATATATCACTTTTTCTTTTACCATGAAAGAGAATGTGATATTGGATACTCTATAAAGCTTGCCATTGACAACAAAGATTTGGTGCCTTATTCTATCGGTAACTTAGTTGAAACAATAGATTGCTATTTACATTAAACTCGTTGTTTTCATATCAGCCATCCATACTTATTTGAAAAAAGAGCTGCCTGTCAAGACATATTCTCTAGTTAGCTTTGAAAAAAAAAAATTATCTCAACAAATCACTTTTAAGTCATAAACGGAAAAAACATTTTTTATCTTGACCTCATCAAGTGAAGACTAAAGCATTCTAACCTCTATGACGTTATTTTTTCTTGAACAAAGGAAATATCCTAACTTTTTGTGGAACTTACTTCAGCCAATGGTCCATCTGGGTTATCACCCACGACTTGTAAGGCCTCCAGCATTGTACCAGTTGAACCTCCAATCAGCAATACCTAAAAGATCTTTCATAAGGTTACAAGATGTTTCAGAAGAACAGATATCATATTAAACTTGCAACATACTTAAAAAGTCCGTGCTTTTTTAAATAGGAAATAAAGAAAAAAGTGAATCTTCACATACTATAGAGGGGAGTGTTATAGTTCACCATTATAATACTACAGGAAAAACAAAGTTTTATTCAACCTATTTTCAGATAGAAACAACATATGATAGAGGCCATCTTCTATGCTCAAATATGTCTTCATGTTAATCTATGCTCAAATATGTCTTCACAATTTACATTAACATGAGGTCGCAATTGAATCATCACTGTATAAGGTAATTATGGAATGTCTAGTTCTATAGAATGAGAACACCATTAAGCACAGCGAGTAATTTAATTTTGGATAATTTACTAAAACATGATTGAGTTTTTTAAGTAGTATAAGAGATTTCTCTATTTTGAAATTATGTATAAACTATTAATTAACCAGGTTTGACAGTTTGAAAATGGAATGGTGTTAGCTTTGGATATGAACTGACATTATAGACCTTATCTTATGATCTTTTTTTCTTTTTCCTTTTTTAAAATAGAATTAGGAACTGATAAAAGTATACACATAATACTTAATCTTTATTCCCCTTCCATCTCTTTTTGGTTCTGTACTTTAATCTTCATTTTTGCATGGTGTTATTTTTTAGGAGTCCCAGCTAGAGAAAGAAGAGTAGGTACACTGGTGAAGGAGATGATTGATTGAGAATAGCTGCTGAGGGTATCAACAGGGGCATGAGATAGAAGGTGAAGAGAAAGAAAAGGCAGAATGGGCAATTAATAGTTGGTCTCCAATGGCTGCATGAGATTGAGCAGCAGAAATGATGTGTGCATGTGGTGATTGAGACTGAGGAAAAATATAAGGGAAGATATGAGCAACTATGAATTGTGGGTTCCCTTGCCGGAGTTATTGATTCAGTAGTTGTTCAGAACAATGGACAGAAAAAGAGTTGTGTAATGGAATGGATTTAATGGAAAAGAAGTATAGCTCCTTGGTGGCAATGGGGCAAAAGAACTAGATTTATCGTCATAATTTGATACAGTCAGATAGTTATTCCAGATCTGCAACTTGGTACCTGCAGTATGGGTGTTTTTAAGCGAAAGTTTTGTAGCCTAAATATTCAAATCTTCTTTTTCTAATCAGTTGATCAGCTTTTTTAGCATGCATTGTTGTAACATGTAATATGTCTAATTCTTATGTAAATACATTAAATGGAATTATTACATTTAAGGAAAAAAAAATATAGGATTATTTTCCAAATATCTCCATAAAATCTGTGCATTTCATAGGGGTTCAGAAATGGAAGAAATCAATAAAAACTAAAAGTTTTTGCCTTCAAGACAGAGCAAGTAGAGAATTTCAAGGTAGAAAACAGGTAAAGAATTAGGAGAATGCTTGGCTGTATGTGCAATATTTATATATACATGTATAGATTAAAATCATGTGAATCATATGAATTAAGGAATCAGAAAAATACCTTATTTTAAAAAAATTAATTCAATTCAATTAAAAAAATGAAAAGTCAAATAGATATAAATTAAAAGAAAAAATTGAAATTCAAATTAAATATTGCATAGGTTACAAATGCTTGGAGAAACCAGGGAAGAAGAGTTGAGGAGAGAGAGCAAGTGCAAGAGAGAATGATTAAATAGATTAAAAATGTGAGGGTATCTTTGTAGAAAGAGAGAAATTCTCACTATTTGAAAGGCCTAAAGAAAACCAATATATACATACTTCATAATTAATCACTTTCCTTTTAGAGGAAGACCTGACAATTAATTTACAGTAAATTAGGAATCAAAAATAAAAACTAATAATGTCAAATTTACCTATTAATAACAAAATGAACAGCTAATAATAGCTGGATTGTTCACCAAATCAAGAATTAAAGGCTAAGAATATTTCCATAATGATGAATTAAATGCTGAAAACATTTCAACATTAATGCTGGAATATTCCCACATCAATGCTCAGAATATTTCCTCATTTAATGTTGAGATATCTCGACTATAATGCTGAGAATATTTCCACAATTTTCCTCAAGCTGGGTTGAAATGTTATTCATCTCAAGCTTAGAATTAGGTCTTGGAAGCTTTTTTGAGGCAAGGCTTTGGTTATGATGTCTGCAACTTTGAGATTTTGTTGGTGTATAGAGCACTTAGACAACATTTCCTTCTACTTTTTCCTTGATGAAGTTACCACCAATCTGAACATGTTTAGAACTGTCATAGTGAACTGGATTCTTGATAATACTCAAGAGTAGGTTGATTGTCACAAAAAAACTTCACAGGATCTTCTAGGTTACTTCCTAGTTCCTTAAGTAACATTCTTATCCAAATAACTTGACAGATTGCATTAGCCGTAGTGTGAAATTCAGCTTCTACATTATTTCTAGAGACCATACACTGTTTCTTGCTTCTCCAAGTGACCAAAATTTTCCATACATAGAAACAATAACCATACATTAGTCTCCAGTCTGTGACAAATCCCAATCAATCTGCATCACTATAAATTTCTATTTCTCATTTAGGACCCTTCTTGAAGAATAAACCCTTGTCAAGTGTTAACTTCAAGTATCTCAGAATCCTATAAACAACCTCCATATGTTGTTCCAGTGGATCATTCATAAACTGGCTTAAAATATTAACACAAAATCAAATATCTGGACTTGTGGGAGGTAGATGAGTTCGTCTTCCGATTTTTGGTACTAACCTTTATTAACTGGGGCACCTTCTCTAGACATTCTCAATTTATGGCTGGTTTCTGTAGGGGTCTCAGCTGGTTTACATCCCAACACCCCACACTTAGTAAGCAAATCAATTATATATTTTCTCTGAGATATATAGATGCCTTCTCCTAATCTTGCCACCTCTTTTCCTAAAAGTATCTAAGATTTTTTAGGCCTTTAATCTCGAATTCCTTAGCCAGAGTTTTCTTCAAATTAATCAGTTCTTCTGTGAGATCACCAATGATCATTAGATCGTTAACATACCTAGAAGTATCTAACAACGTATCATTGACTCCATGTTATTGTACTACTCTTGTAAATCTTCGAACCAAGCTCTTGGGAATTGCTTAAGACCATACAATGATCTTTTAACTTGCAAACCTGAGGTCTACCATATGGAGTTTCAAATCCAAGAGGAATGTCCACATATGCTTCAACAACTAGGTCTCCTTTCAAAAATGCATTATTCACATCTAGATAGAATAGAGGTCAATCTAAACTTGCAACTAATGTGAAAATAGTGTTTAACTTAGTCACCGGTGCAAATGTCTCTCGGTAGTCGATGCAATAAGAATGGATCAATCCTCTTGTGGCAAGTCATGCTTTATACTGGTCGATGCTTCCATTATCCTTTTCTATCTTACTGTAAGAGCCCCTTGCAACCTATAAGGTTTTTTCCTAGGGACAGTTTTGTGATTTCCCATGTTTGATTCTTTTTTAGGGTTCGAATCTCATCAAAGACAGCAACCTTCCAAGAAGGATTTTGAGTGCCTTTTAAACATTGGTAGAGACCTGCATTGCATCTAGACTTGTAATAAAAGCTCGAAGCTCAAGTGTCCTTAAATAAGAGATATAATTGAGGAAAAGAATGTTGAGTACAGGATCTTATTCCGTTATGTACAACAATGGGCTGGCTCAAATCATTTCTAGAATTGTCAATAATTGCATTAGCTTCATTTATGAATCTAGATCTATAGGGGGCACGCACTCTCCTCTAATAGAGATGAAGTTGATTGTGCATATTGTTTGTTCTTAACTCCAAATGGAGAATTAGGCTCGAGAGATGCTGACTCAATATTATAATCGGCACTTTGAGGTATGGGTCCAATGAGATATAGAAAACTTAGGATCGACTCCAATAATGAGTTCTCAGCATCCTAATGTTCAAATTCCTCATTATTTTTTTTTCTCTATGTGAATGGCAGTGTTAGAATAAAATTGTTGATTCTTAAAAAACAAGACATTTAAAGAATGATAATGTCACCTTTTGGTCAGAGAATAACATTTTGATCCTTTTTGATTTGGTGAGTATCCCAAAAAAATATATTTTAGTCTTTCACGATTATAAGGATGGATATGGACAAAAGTAGAACATCCAAAAACTTCTAATGTCAATTGTTGACACAAGGCAGAAAAAAGGATCATGTGTACAAAGAACCTAAAACAGGATCTGGAAGTTGAGAACACGAGATGGTATCTGATTTACGAGGTAGGCTGCAGTCAGAATGGCATCCCCATAAAAATGTTCTGGGGCATTGGATGCAGTTCTCAAAGAACGGGCTACTTCAAGGAGGTCTCCATTTTTTCTCTTTGCAATCTCACTTTGTTGTGAGATATTTACACGAACTTTTATGGATGATTTCATAATCCAACAAATAATCTCCTAAAACATTATTGAAAAATTCTTTGGCATTATCTATTTTGGGAATTTTGATTTTTTTTTTGGAATTGATTTTTTTTTTTTTTTTTTGAAATATCAAGTGTATAGTATGATATTAACAATAGCACCAAGAGGGTGCCAAACCCATGTACAAGAAATTTACATTTTGACCAAAGTATCAATAAGGTCTCATAATTCTGCCATCAAATAAGAAGAATTACTCATTAATAAAAGACAGTTTGAGACCATTTATTCTTAAGCACGTCAAAAATCATCTACCCCTTTGAAAACCCTCCTATTACTCTTCTTTCACAAAACCCACAAAATATTAAAAGGAATTACATCCAAACACTTCTTGTTACCCCTCACACCCGTCCATGCCCAAATTTCAGCATGCAATGATCCTGCTATCACCCAACTAATTCTGAAGGGCCCATAAGGCTCCAAAGAAGACATGATTGCAAGTCTCCTTCGTCTTACACAAAAAACAAGCATTAACCATGCTTTTACCATTCTTCCTCAAATTATCAATAGTCAAAATGCAACCCCTGCTAGCCTCCCAAGCAAAAAAACATATACAAGTGGTAGCTTAGCC